TGGGGCTGCCGGTGTGCGGGGTGAGCCCTCCAGCCGGGCGGGGCTGCCCGGTGCTGCGTGTGGTTCTGCCGAACGGAGAGTGTGATCTCGCACGTGGCTTCGAGTCTTTCAGTAATTCTGTCTGAAGGGGTTTTTTTTGTTCTGTTTCCTGTGTTTTCTGTGCGTGTATCTGTTCTGGAGTCTTTTATCAGCGTTGTTGTGAAGAGCAGGTCATGGGAGACAGGATGGCAGAGCAACTAGTTGAGATGTGGAGTCCAGAAAGAGCAATATCCCCTCTTTCTCCTTCCTTCAGTCAGCTTACTGACTTCAGTCAGAGCCTTGCTCGGGTGTATCACTTAAACTCTGAGCACTGGTTCAGCATGGAAAACTTGGGGGGAAAAAACCTGCCCAGTTGTGCGGGCGCTGCATGTGTCCCAGAGCTGCTTTAGCGAGGGCAGAACCGCTTCCTTTGGCTTCAGCCTGCAAGAGCCTACAGCTGCAGTTTCCTTCAGAGGGGGGAAAAAACCCTCCCTGTTTAAAGGGCTTTTTTTTGGCCTCTAGATTTGGTCTCTAATATGTATTGCATCAGACATCCTTGGGTGACAAACAAGAGGTGCTGGCTCTCCTGCCAGCCTCATGTTCACAGCCTGGAGTTGCGTGATGCCCGTGCAGACAGGTGAGTGCTGGCCAAGCAGAGGCTGCTTCCAGAGGGCAAAGCCTGCCTTTCTCTCTTGGTTGTAAGTTTTTCCATTCATCCTGCCTGGCAGGAATACCCCAAAAGACAAGACAGGACCTTGTTGAGGGGTTCGGTAACCTCACCTGTGCTAATAGTTTTGCCAAACATGTTGCCAAAGGTCTGTGTTAAGTGAGTCTGTTGATGTACTTGAAAGAAAATAGTGCTCTCGCTGACTTCTGCAAAGTCTGATCCAAGATACTGAATTGATTTTTTATTTTTTCTTCTCTTTTCCTGGGTGGTTCAGTCACTTCAGCTTTCCTAGAGGCCTGAGTCATACGAAGGTTAAATATGTGTAGATTAATTTTTTTTTTTTATATATAAAACAAGTGGGAGGTATGCTTTCTGGTTCTTGAAACAAAACCATTTTTTCTTTTCTGTTTCTTGCCTTTTACAAAATAAATTGACCTCAGTTTTGAAGCAAAACACTGAAACACTAAGCTCTGGAAATGTTAGCTCAGGACAGGAAAAATATTTTCAAAATCTATATGCTAGTTATTTCGGAATATGGCTTCAGTCTGAACCTGCATTTCCCTTTAGCTACTTGCATTAAAAATGTGAGATTATTTAAATAAAATGGTCTCTTTCTTCCCCCTTCCCCCCATTCAGGAAGAGGTCAGTATTTAAAGGTGAAGTGCAAATAAGCTATGTGAAGAGTGTTCCCAGGCCATGCCTATTAGTCTTTAACTGGTGGCATAAATAATTTTAATTTTTTCAAAAATTGTATTTATTTTAATGAAAAAAATCACATTAAAATTAGAGGATTTATTAACCTAATAGCAAACAAAGTTGTTTGTGGGCTTATTAGATTTTCTTTAGCTTCCTCAGGTATAGACTCTGATTGTATTTTATCTTCGTGTATTTTTCTTCTGTGTTTCACATCGAGTCAAAGAAAGCCTGCCTGACTTTCTCATGTCAAGAGCTGCACATTGTTCAGCTTTAGACCAATTTGGGGCAAACTTTCATGTTCTAAAAAATTCCTGAGAAGACTCCTAGTTTTGCTCATGGCCATAGATATAGCTGGCTAAGATATGTTGCTGAAGGGAGTGGAGGAGTAATGACTTAGGAGCCACTACCAAGCAGTAAAAAAACAAAAGGAAAAAAGCCTCAAACTATAAAACCAAAAAGCTATTCTGACCACTTACCTTGCGTCATCTGAGTCTAAAGAGGTTTTGTCCTTACCAATGCATTAAAAAAAAGAGCAGACAGGATCGAGTTCTGGCATGAAAAAGTTAATTATGAATATATTTCAAAAATGTGGATAAATTATTAATAACAAAAATAATAGTAATCAATACTCATGTCAATACTGCAATGAATCGTAACTCTTGTCTTTGGAGCAGTTTTCTTAGAAGAAATGGTCTTGCAAAATGAAACACAGGATTTAAAGTTTACTGTCAGGTTTCACAGAGGGTAAACTTTTTTAAAAATTTGCTATGGGAATTCAGTGGGCACTGAAATAATGCTGTTGAGCTCACATGTCATGAGAGTCATCTTACTCTGTTCAAATCACCCTGAGTGTAGCACATTGTGCTGGGAACGTGGCGTCACCTTCGTTATTTGAAAATATCCACTTTGACACCTTGGCAAATGGTGTAAGGCAAAACCAGGGCAAGAGGCTGTTATTTTACTCACAGCCAAGAATGTTTCCAGAAATGTAGTCTTTGGGAATTCATGGAGACATTTTTTGAGGACAGCCTTGCAATGTAATTCAACAGTGTCTTTATGTGGCTCTTTTAATCTTAGAATTTTGAACTTGTTCAGCACAGGGAAGAAAGAAGTCCCTGAATTAAGATAGAGAGAAAGAAATAAAGGAAAGAGGCAGGATGGAGCCTGCTTGCCTTTGTATCTTTCATATGTGGAAGTAAATGCTGTAGGATTGCTGAGACATACATTAACTCAACAGCAGTGATTGCTGGTGCACTTAACCACTAAGCAAACGGTTCTGTGGATTCTAGAGCTGTGTTCTTTCCCATATGCAAAAACATGAGGAGGTAATTCCTTAGGTACTTTAAACAACAACATTACTTCAACATTAAAAATGCTAAAAATGAGAATGTTTGTTCTTTCACACACCATAAAGTGTTAATCACAGGAGGCTGGGTAGGACCTTACCTGACTGTCATGTGATATGTATGAATACTTACAATGTGGATGGGTGAAGCAAGCTGTAGCTAAATGTGAGGCTTGAATCTCTTGGAAGTGCAGTGTGGCTGGACTTGACAGATATTTGCTGTCTCATCAAAATGAACTTGGAGAGAAAAATGTGCCTAGCAGCATTTTTCAAGTCAGAAGAGCTTTGGTGTCAGGCTGAATTGAAAACAAGATTCATGCAGCTGGATTAGGATCCATGTGGAGATGTCTCCCTTTTAGAAGGAAGATTTGACTGTATGATTGTAGTTGGCTTAGGTGCCCCTGAACACACCCATCCCTTTTGTTGCCTAACAGCTGATTTACACAGAGTAGCTGGTTGAGCTCAATTTACTATGTTGAAGTCATCCACCCTGGGGAAATAACTGATGTGCCTGACATGTGGGTTCCCTGAAGAAATTGTAAGGGAGAGACTGGATACAATAAATTCAGAATACTAGTGCGATGCTATTTTTTCCTTGCTTGATTGCTTTGAGTAGGAACAAATGAATTGGTTGTGCAGACAGATAAATTCTCATCAGTAGTCTTTAGAGTAAAGAAAGTAGATGTAAACTTTGCAGATCTGTCCAGACAGTACAGCATTGAGCCCTTCTCACTGTTTATTGTGAGTATGCAGGCAGGGCCTGTGGTGGTACAAATACGTTTAGCTCCTCTGGCAGGAAAAACAGCAAGCCAAAAGATATAAGGCAAATTATGTGCACTTCTGTTTGTCCTGGAACATCTGGAGTAGGTTAATTGTTCACTTGATATTAGGTAGAGAATTACTACTAAAAGAACATGAGCTTCCCCAAGCTGTGGGTTGGACTTAAAAGGAGTTGTTGATGCTAACATGGTCTTTGGCCAAAATCTATTCTTAACTCCATCCTCAATTACAGTAGGACGTGATGGAATATAGCAGAAAAAATCCACAATAATATCAACGATAACAGTTCTTATTATAAGAGATTTTTTTTTTTTTTTCAATGAGAACAATCAGTCATTGGAACAACCTCTCCAGGGATGTGTTGAAGTCCCCATCAGTGGAGGTTTACAAGATGTGCCTGGACAGGGTGCTAACTAATCTCATCCAGGCTCCTTTTTCTGTGAAAGGTTGGATCAGATGAATTTTTTACATCCTTCCAACCTGGGCTGTTCTATGATTCTATGCTTAGTGCTTGTCTGTTCCCTTTGCACTGCTCAGCTTAGGGTCTCAGCTCAAAGACTCAGGCTTGGGAGAGTCTGAAGGCAGCTGTGCCTGATCTCCATATTGCAGATTTCTTTTGACCAAAGTCATAATGGGATTCAGTGGAGGATGAAGGATTTAACTTGAGCTATGTGTCTCAGAACCTCTTGTGATGAGAATGATATCCTGTCATTGGTTTGAGCCTGCCCAGCTGAGCTGCTTGAAGATGCTTGCAAATGATTGTGGTCTCCATCATGGATGGTTTGAACTGGCCTCGCTTATATGGCTGTTAGACTAAATCTTCTGTGTAGACAAAACCCTGCTTACTGGTAAATTAGAACAACATTGATAGGGAGGAGAAAAAGAATGTCAATCTGTAAGATGTCACGTTCCTTGTATAATCAGCAAACATTTTTAAAAAAACTTGAATGTTTAATCTTACTGTGTTGTCTTTTATATTCACAGGTATATTTTGAAAACCATAATTCTGGGCCAGATGCTCTCCTTGTTTATTTGTGGGACTGCTGTTACAAGCCAGTATCTAGCAGAAAAATACCAAGTCAATACTCCAATGTTTCAAAGTTTTATCAACTATTCTTTGCTTCTTCTAGTTTATACAACAATGCTGGCATTTAGGACTGGTATGTGAAATATGGGATGGGAGATTCTGGTTCATTGTTGGTTTCTTTTTCTCTCCTACTTTTTCCTTCCAGATTTTGAAAGTAAAGAACTTAATACTGATCTTGGTTTTTTAAAGTTCCTGCTCTGTCTTGTAATAACACATGGAAATTAATTTCACAGATTAGATGTGCATTTAATTTTATTTCATTTCATGTTTGTTTAAAATTATGTGCTTCTTGGTTTCAAGTCCTATGTTATATTAGGGGAAATAGGCTTTGTTTTAACAAGCTTCTTTAGGATAGGCTATTTAATATTCTTATTTTTACTAATTAATTCTTTAATCAGCTCTAGTCTTGTGAGTTTTTTCCTTATGTGGAAGAATTTCTGTGCTTTTCAACATTTTCATTGTCTCCTCCCAGGCTGCATTTTGCTGTTACTGTATCTTTCTAAAGCAGGGACAACCAAAATCAAGCATCTGAGTATTACTTACGTTTCTAAAATGCAGGATTCCTGTGCAGTATTTAGCTGGAAAGAAACATGTATTGATTTCTGCTTTCTTCTAAACAGGCAGTGACAGTCTTTGGCACATTTTGAAACAGAGGTGGTGGAAGTACATTTTTTTGGGACTGGCTGATGTCGAAGCCAATTACATGATTGTAAAAGCCTACCAATATACAACCCTCACAAGTGTGCAGGTAAGGATCCATCTCTCTTTTTCAACTGTTGCTTTTATTACAGTTTTGGACCAGTTTCTGAAATGAGATTCATAGGTTAGACATGGAAGCTATTTAAGCCCCAAAAAAGCTTTTCAATATCTATTTTCTCTCTGTGGTACAGAGAAGAGCATCCTGTGTCATGAATAACGTTTCCAGGAAGCAGGGAAAATTGGCTGGTATTAGCCTGTGCCAGCTCTTGAGTTGAACTCTAATTATTTTGATAGAAAGCACTTCTAAGAGTTTGCTGACAGCCACTCAGGTTTTTCTTCTGACACAAAATAAAAGATTTATGGCCAGATAGCACTTTCCAGCGCAGGTTCTTACTGATAATGTGCGAGGTGAATCTCTTGCCTGCTCTTAAAAGCTGTGGGAGGCCTTGTGAGACGTAACCCCACGTGTGAGGACGCACTGATAGTTGGTTGGTGTTGCTGACCATGTGGTGAGGCACCAGCCCTATGGCTTTTGGATGTGGCGCTTCAGTTTGGGCCCCTGTCTGGAAGAGGTGGAAGGGAGATCAGCATGGCTGGCTGCTGAAGTGCCAGTAAACATCCTCTACAGTGCCATTGCTTGGTGCTGCATCGCTGCACTAGGATAAATCTGGTGTTCTGAAGTAGCCCGATGAGCCAGTTGGCTAAGACTGGGGTTTCTTTGCCTCCCTACGCAGATATAAGCTGCTGAAAGAGACCATGCCTTCCTTCTGTCTCCCAGCTGCATGCTCCTGAGCTTGCACTGTCAGATCCCTTGAGCAAACTGGCTTAGGACACTGAGCAAAGTTAGAGTAAAACGTATTTTATTGGACTGTTGGTGAGCTCTGTCAGGCCCCTGAGTTAGCTCCCCGTGGGGCTTTCTGGCTGCTGCAGTGGGAACAAAGGAAGGGATGGTGCACAACTAAGGAGCGAGTATGTCTGGGGCTGTGCCAGCCTGTGCCTGCTCGGATGGTGGATCTGTGGCTGGGGTCATGACCCCACTTACCTGAATAAAAAAACCCAGTGTAGTACATAAGAGTTGCCTGTTAGTTGGAAAGGAGTATTTAGGTGTCAGTCTTTTATAGAGTCAAAGTAACAAGGGGTTAATATTTAAAAGAAATACCTGTAAAGCAATAAACTCCTGGGCTCGCTTTAGAGAACTGCTGTAACTTGCACTAGTTCAAGATCAGTAACGTGTGCCTGATGGATTATTATTGTTATGTTTCCACTTCATACTTGTGTGTTACGACTCATTAGACCTGTAACTGCCTTACAAATAATGCCTAAGAAATCAAAGCTTTGAGTGACACATTTCAGTCTCAAGATCAAGTTAAGCTGATAATCAAGACACTCTTTGATCAAATACTTTACAGCTGAAAAAGCCAGGACTTTGATCCAAGTTCTCAGAAGTAGTAAAGCTATTCCTATGATTTCTCTCATAGAGATTAAGAGAGATTAGATACAGTATGCTGTACTGTTTATTTGCCAAGCTCGAGCAATTACTGAACCTTCTTTCCATATGGTAACCTTCTGACTGATGCTTCTCTCAGTGTCAGTTCAGTAGTTGTTTGTTGTAACTGTCCATTAGGTTTTCTGCACATTTTCTGAAATCAACAGTTTTTCACCACTGTCAGGAGTGTGATACAGAACATCAACAACAACAAAAGCCTGCGATTTGCTCCAGTGCAGGGCATTTTCTATCTGCCAGTAGCAAGCAGTTCTGCAGCTACATCAGAACCTGTGGTTCAGAGCTCCCAACCTGAGAGCCTTGTCTGCAGTACTGGCTGTGAGTGGATGCCCAGCGAGCATTAAGGCAATGCAGGAGTGTGTGGCACCTTCTCAAGTACAGGGTAATCACTGTTCCGGTGCTGTCTGGACCTTAAGCTCAGCCCTGTGAAATTTATCTTGAAAGGTAATGTCTCAGCTCAGCAAGGAACTTCCATGTATTTTCTCACACATGTACACAAAAGCAGAACTGGTTTTCCTTTAGTTGTCAAATACCAGCATTGCACGGAAAGGGCTGGGAGATGTTTAAGGAGATAACATTCATATGGCAGCTCTCACTTCTCTAAGTAAAGAAGGCTTTGGTCCTCAACCGAACTCCCTCTATTCTGCTGTGACTGAGGCAATGGCAGGGAGATTTCTTGCTGCTGATGTCTTTCTTGTGGCAGGACTTAACTGTGCTGCTGTTTGACCACGTATTTCATAGCAAAAAAACCAAGCAGCATAGCTGTGGTTTTGTGTTGTTAATGTGTTTTTTGGCACAATTAGCATTTGCCTCATAGGTAATTGAAATGGAGGCGTTTTATAGGCAGCTGTTGTCAGAATATCTGCTGATGGAAGTGTGTTAACCTTAACAGGAGAAAATGCAGGATGAGCCCTTGGGGCTCAGTGGGAGCAGGATGAGCTGTTGAGCTTTCTTGCTCACAAAGCTATCTGGAGCTGGCAATTGTAAGCAAACCAGTGACCTCCAACAGTCTATGATCATTTATTAACCATGTATTAAAACATCTTTTAATAATTTACTCACCCTACATTTAAAACCTTCTTATAAACAGTGTGGCCAAAGGCTGGCTTGAGTCAAAACATTTGTAAATCAAATCAACAGGTTATCTGCTTTTTTCCCCCGTGTAAAAATAGACTAGAATTTAATAAGATGAGCATTTACTGAAGCTCTGCTAGCAATAGTAATCATTACTGCTGTGAATGTCATAAAGCCTAGATAAATAAACCTTTCTTTTAAATGGTTCCATTGACGCAGTTCATTGCAATGTTACATCTGTTTTGCACCTCCTTGATCTTGATCCTGTACAGAAGAAAACATTTTCCAATGAAAGCTCTGTAACATAGATGAAAGGAAGGCAAGATCCAGGAGTTGGAAATCAGATTTCTTTTGTCTGTAGTTGGAGTTAATTGTCCCCTGGAACAGATTACCAGGGTGTGTTCTTCATCATTTGGTGCCTATTTGCCTTGGCTGCAAGTTGTCTAACCAGAATGCTGTAGCTGTACAGTATATTATTGGTTTGGATGCAGCAATTCTCCATTTGGCATTACCAGAAGAGCTTGTGAGTCATTATCTACTACTCCCTTACATCCTGATTAAGATATTTTTTTAAAAAGGGTTTTTGTTCTTTTATTGTTTGGGTTGAAAAACTGTGTGGGAGGTTGGAAAGCTACATGGTAACATCTTAATAAATGAGGAATTGAAAGCTTTTATGTTAATGGAAGGGATGTGTACTACCAGGGGGTAAATTTTTTCCTTTCTGTTTTTTGTAATATTTCTTGGTTTCTGTGATTGCAGCTTCACACCAGAGAGATCAAATACATTTCCATACTCAGGGCTGAACTGGTTCAGACCAAAGGTGGAAAACCAGAGTTATGACAGCTAAAATGTACCTTTTGCAGAAACCGATAAATTACATGTGTTTGATACTAGTCAAAACAGTAAAATTCAGGGGAAATGTTAGCAAGTTTTTTTTGAGCCCAGACAAAAAGTAAGATGGACTAGATGATCTTCTGAGGTCCTTTCCAACCCCTAAGATTCTGTGATTCTGTGATAGAGAAAAATGCCTGAGGCTAGATAAAAATTCACAGCATGATACTTTTCCAATAGAGCAAGCTTGTTTTAAAATACATAGTATTATATATTAGGACTTGTATGGTTCTGGTGTCTCGTCATGCAGCCCAGGCAAGTGGCAGGCACAGACTTCTCAAACCGGACAAGCGGGAGGCAATCCAAGGAACAAAGACAAATGGAAGGATTAGAGAGCACCATTGGGATTTAATTTGTATTAACTCCCCTTAATGCTGTACTGGTAAGACTTTAATATGTGTAGTTATAAACAAGTAAAACCAAACTTACCATGAAATTCTTACGAGTTTGGTTAAAACCCTTGGGGATGCTGGCAGAACTAACAGAAGCCAGCACAGCAGAATACTGTGGTGGTGTACTCAGGAAGGCAGAAGTTAGTAATGAATTTAAGTACTTCGGGCTCTTGTCTTGATTGTCATGATTCTGCCTTGGTCCTGTTGACCTTGATCTACCACTTTGTAGTGACTTCAAGAGGCCAGGATGTAAAGGCTGATATTTAAAGAGCATTTGGTGAGCAGCCTTCAGAAGGCTGAATGTGTGTTCTACAGTAGGCTGTTCCTTTGTATATTCTCATGGCATGCTGCTGAGGTACATCAGAACATATACCTTTTTGTTTTTTCCCTGGACCAATTCAGAAAAAAAGTCTATGCTCTTGGTATTATTTGGTTATTCTGAAACGTTATCACCATCTTATGCTGCAATGTATTTGCCTACGTACACAGCTAACTTATTTCTGTAATAAAAAAGAATGGGTAGAAGGTGGGTGTGCCTGGGAAGGCAAAGATACATAAGGTTTAGGAACACAGAGAGAATAATTAAGAAAGGAAAGAAGTTGTTACAGCTTGTTACAGAGTCCAGGCATCCTTGAAATGTAGCTATAAAGTCTGCTTGGGCCAGTGTTTGCAAACACCTCCAAAGTGCTTCAGAACTCCGGCTGCCTTGTAGCTGTGGCATGGGTGAATTAGAGTGGGTTACCTGCTTCTGACTAAGTGAGAGTCAGCTCTAACAGAGTCATGAGCATCACTGGTGAATTTGTGGGAAGTTGGAAGATTGGGAACGTACTTAGGAAAGCTTTTACCAATTTTGCATGTGGCTTCCAGATCATGTACTCTTTTTTAATATATATTTTTTTTTTTTAGTAGGATCCACTTGGGGAAAATAAACTCAAAACCAAAACAGCAGGGTCAGATTCTTGCCCTGTTCACTTTGATGTAAAGCCAGATCACTTTAATAATTTCAGATTCTTACTTTATGTTGTATGTGGAGTCCTAAATTCTAATTACATGTTTGAGGAGGAATGAAAGATGAGCTAGACAAAACTGCTGGGGAAAACGAAATGTTGGTGAACTACCTCTTTGCGTTGATCTCATGGGGAGAATGTGGGTTTAGAGAAACACTGTAGCATTCATTTATGAAGTTGCAAAGGCTGATAAGGTCCATCATTAAAAGAGTTTGAAGATGAGTGCCTTCCTGCCAGGAGAGAGTGGGGTCCCCACTCCAGCTCTTCCTCCACTTACAAAATGCTATTCATGGTAAGGTGTAGGTCTGACCCCTCTTTTAAATGAATCCCCTGGGATTTGCTTTGCAGCTTTCATTAGCATCTGATAGTGATGGAAAGTGAGATCCTGTACGTTGCAGGAGAGTGCAATACAGATTTGGGGTGGGTTTCTAATTCAAACCATTTCTCTGTACACACAGCTGCTGGACTGTTTCGGGATTCCTGTGCTGATGGCTTTGTCGTGGTTCATTCTCCGAGCAAGATACAGGCTGATCCATTTTCTTGCTGTTGCCGTCTGTTTGCTGGGTGTAGGAACAATGGTGGGTGCAGACATTTTGGCAGGGAGGCAGGAGAGTGAAGGTAAGGACTCCTTTATTGCAGCGGGGAAAGGCAGAGTGACTGCTACCGTGGTGGGCTAACCTGCAAAGGAGGAAGAGGAGCAAATGCAGGGGGAGTGGATGTAGTTTTATTTTAAAAGAGATGAGGAGAACCCGCCCTGCTTTTTGTATTTCTTGTCCAGGAAGATGGTGGCTGAGGAAGTGCTGGTTTTATAGGGAACTGTGAAGTTTGTTTGCTTGTAGGTTATTTCTTCCACCTTAAAAGAGAAACGTGTTAAGTTTTGCTGCTGTTCATCAGACCTGAGGAAAGGCTTCATTCTTGACTGCTTGTTCACTTCTACAAATTATGTGGGAGTGTCTAGTAAAAGATGGTGCCTCTCCCTGTAAACCTTGTCATGCTTACACCCTATCAGACTGCTGGCAACCATACTTCTACAAATAAAAAGTTACTGAAGAGTAGCCTGACTTCTCCAAATTCTCTTTGGCAGACCCAACAGAAATACTTTGTGTATCCCTAAGGCCTACAGGCCACAGCCTGACAAGCAGGGGCTTATGACAGGAGAACAAGAGATGTGGGCAGGGTGCTGGGATTCCTGGGATTTCCAGGAGGGAGGCTGAGCTCTGGGGACCAGGATCCAGCTGGGTGCAGATGAGGGCAGATCTCATCTTCTCTATGACAGATGCCTAAATCAACCCACATCATAACGATCTTTCTTTGACTAAGAATTTTGGATTTTCAGAGCCAGTGGGTGTAAGGCAAGGGAAATGTCAGGGGGAGAGGAAAGGGATTTGCTTTCATCAGGCAGCATAGAGATAAGCCTGTTTGGCATTATTTTGAAGCCTTACCATGGGTAAGACATTAAGGCATACTGAGGTTTAGCTTTAATGCTGTGTGGTACATGTATCTCTGTCCTGAAGGAGAAAAATATTTCCCTGAGACTTTAAGACAGTTGTGCTTTATTTGCTGACCTGGGTATCCTTACTACTGCTTACCCTCCTATTTCAGACACATTTTCTTAGTGATTGCCAACTGGCTCAGGGAAGGACATCTTAAATCAATTCAAGGATTTAAGCAGCAGCAATCCTCTTGCTGTTCGCTGATGCATAATGGAATTTACTTGATGAGTGATTGTATCACAGGGAGTCCCATTTGCACAATATAAGTAAATGGCAGCAGGACACATGATATTGTCCATCTGCAGTGCCCACATCAGACCTCTCATAAACTTGAAGCCAGGTCCTGCTGAAATCAATCAACTGATTTTACCATGACTTGAATCGGACCTTAGTGGAAAAGCAGGGGCAATATTCAGAAGGGTGGAGAGCATCTTTGAGTGGGAATTTTCTTAAGCCCTTACAGTGCATAGGGTGTGCAGCAGTAGAATTGTAGATTGCACTGCAGTAGCTTGGTCATGATGAGATTTCAGTGGTGGGTTTCACTCATTCCAGCCTGCAAAGCAAGGTGAGCAGGTAGCAGAGTCTGTGCTGAGACACTCATCTGCACACACAAGATGTTTCCTTTCCCCTACCTAGGAAGATAAGAGATGTTAGAGATAAATTTGCTTGTCTTTTTCAGGAAAGTTAAAAAGTGTTTGTAGCATTACCCTTATTGTGGATTAATATTTCTGTACAGGTAGTGACGTGGTGATTGGAGATGTCTTAGTGCTTCTTGGTGCTTCTTTGTATGCCATTTCTAATGTGAGTGAGGAATACATTGTGAAAAATCTGAGCAGAGTGGAGTTTCTAGGAATGGTGGGCTTGTTTGGGACTGTTATCAGCGGTCTACAGCTGTAAGGATCTAATATTTATTTTAAAACTAATTAAGAATATTCTACAGATGATTGCTTGTCTACCATAAAATGATGTTGTTGTTATTAAATTAATTCTTTGTTACATCTGCATTTGGCCTGTATGGGAGTCCTTCCACTTGAATTTTATTTTTGTAGCTGATCAGCATCTGTTTTATTTCCTTTTTATTTGCACTAATCTGATTACAGCAGTTCTAAAGCTGAAATCCTGCAACTGAACACCTAAGGTACTTGGCTGTATTTCTGATTTTGTTGATCTTCATGAGGACACTCAGTGTGATGAGGACTGTTCACAGGAATGTATTTCTTAATGGATTTTGTCTGTGGAAAAGTTTAGGAGATAATAATTAGCAGAGGTCTCCCATATTAAACTTCAATTTAAAATGAAGCCTTCTGTACTCTTGTAAATAACCACATTAGAGTAATGGACCACACGCACTTAAGGAATTTTATGTTCCTCATTTCTCATCATTATAGTTAATAATCTCTTAAAATGGTATATCAAATAAAACTGAATCTCTGGATGAAAAAGCCTGGGAAGAAGGCATAAAAGTTAAATAAAAAGTGCTCTTGACTTTCAAGCACTTTAATTTTCAAGACTTTTTTCGTACTTTTTAGATGTTGGAGCTAGTGTCATTCAATTAAATTTCAAGAAAAAATTAAGGGATTATAAATCAAAATGTTTCTTACATATTCTGGTAATTAAATTCTTTAATATTATATGATTTTATTGTTATTTTACTGTATTGTATCTTTAACTCTAGAGCCATTGTGGAACATAGGGAGATAATGAGAATTCAATGGAACTGGAAAATTGGTATGTGTATGACAAAATGATGTGCATTTTTACAGAACACTGAAAAATTATAACCATTTAGACTTCAAATGCTGGGGATTAAATTTTCTTTATCTGGGTATTAAGCAGCATTTATAAGATAGCTCTGCAAGTTTACTTGCTGCAAACTTTGCAGCTCAGTGAAGAGAGGTTTGCAGGGTTTAACATAAAAACCTTTGAGCTCAGGTTTTACATTTCATGTTATCGCATGAAATGATTTTTCAAAATGAATTTCAAAATGGGGAAATCAAACCTGTTCAATCAGAGACATGTTTAATGTTGCAACATCACATTTTTCTGTTGCCCTTCCTAAATGAAATACTGGGAAAATGGATTTTGTGGCACATTAGGATCTCAACAGAACTGTACATTATTAAGAAATGGGGCTCTGAATTTCCTCAGTCAGCTTTGATGTTAACTGAGAAAGAACAAGAACTTTCTTTTAACAGAGTAGTCTTAGAAAAAATATTTCTGCCGTGTTTTTCTTAAATTTATATTGCCGTATCTTTTAGGAGACCTCGTCCTAAAAGGTAAAAATGCATTATTTTAAAGCATCTGAAGAATATCAGTGTTCTTTAAAATTATTATTTCATGCCTTAGGAGTAAATTGTCATTTTGTTTTACAGCATTACTGTTCACAGTCTTTGCCCTGTGTATGTTTGGGCTGTACAGCTTCATGCCAGTCGTCATTAAAGTTACCAGCGCAACCTCGGTCAACCTGGGTATTCTGACTGCAGATCTCTACAGTCTGTTCTTTGGGCTTTTCCTCTTTTTCTATAAGGTAAGGACCTTCATTCTTTCACTATCATGTTAGTTATGTTTGTAGGCCAAAATGAGAAATAAAATGTAATGTTCTGAAAAGCCCCTGAATGGTAATTTGCAGTTGCACAGTTCTAAAGCTTGTGTTGTTCATTGTTGGCAGATGTCATCTGGGAGGAGTCATAGTTAATTAGCATTGCACCATTAAGCAGGTAGTGTTATTCAAACAGTTTTACGCTTGATGAAATATGTTAATGGTAAGAGGTAGTAAATAATTTCCTGAGCTGTTCAAATGGTAGAGTTCTTGCTCTAAGCCCTGTGTGGAACTAGAAGTGAGATTGGTTAATCTCTCCCTGTGTCCAAAGAGAAAGTTTGACTCCCTGTCCTTTAAAGGCATGTAGTTTCTGACAGGAGTAGTTTGGCTTGATTTCCAGATATGCATATTTTCTTCTAGAAAAGAAATCTATTCATAACCAGCCTCTTGGGATAAGAATCTGGCTCTTTCATTGTTACTGCTGAAGAGAGACTAAAGGAACTGAAAAAAATGCAGATAAGTGTTATTCTATATGCTCCTCTCCAAAAGGCAGTTACTTCTATTGCTTGCAAATATTTTTGATAGCGTCTGTTCAACCTGAACAGTTCTAAAAAGATTTCATTCCACCCTGTGCTTCTTACCCAGAATAATTTTTGGCAGCCTAGCTCGTTAGAGCAATTGGAGTAATTGAGTCAGTTGCTCGGTGACTGGAAGGGCTTAGTGAGAAGCTTGTGAATTTTGCTTAAGAACTTAATTTGTATTATTCCATGTGGTTGCTTTTTCTTCAGCATTGTGGAGAGACAGAAGCTCTCAATTTGTTTCTGAAATTGAAGACCAATTTCTTTTACAGCATGGAGGTCTGGTAGTGGTAGGATCTGACTATGGCTAGATTGTCTTTTTGTTCAGGAGTCTCTTAGATCAGTTTTTCCCCCCTGTTTTGGGTTCTAAAATTTACTCCAAGCTACAAAGCATCAATTAAAAATGAAAGCAGGAAGTGAATCATACTTACAATCTAACATAAAATATTATTTCTGAGTAACTTTCAAATGTGTATTGGCACCCAGATAGCTTAACTCAAGAAGTTATTATAAATGTATATTTTAGTAATAAAGAGGAAGAAGTAAGCAAGACCTGTGGAAGGGGTATAATAAACTTCTATGATTCAGGATTTTTATCTCACTCTGGATAGAGGTTTTTCTGGGAGCAGATCATCTCATAATTAACTGAAGGGTATTCTAGTAGCAAAAAGGGAGAATGAATTTGAGAAGACATTGGGTTGTATTATTAGAGGATTTAATATATTTTGTTAAATAGGAGCTTGCTTCTGTGGTTAGAAACAATAAATAACAAAAATGGGAGCAATAATAATGCTGCACCTGTAGTAATCAAAGAATCTGAGATAGCTTAGGAATCAAGACCTGAGAGTGCTTGATTTTGACACAGCTTTTAACATAACATGTAGTAGTAAAAAATCTTATTGCCAAGTTAGCCATACAGTTTCTTTACCTATGGGGCAAAGAAACTAGGCAGGACATTTCCTGGATTAAAAAGCACCATGGACACAGGAATCTACAAATAAGTATGTAGGGAATCACTGTTTCCTGTCACCAGATGATTTTTCAGTAAAGCAACTGCAGGCTGGGCTGGGCTGCAGAGCTGAGGGAGCCATGGGGAGCTCTGCATTGGTGTGTCTGAGCCTGCCCTGGAACAGGAGTAGCACAAACATGCAGCAGCTACAGCAGAGACTGGGCCCAGGAACTTAGGAGGTTTTGGCTTGTGCTCAGTGTTTTGCTAATGCACTCAACTCTTCATCCCCTGCCGTGTCTGTTTAAGGAAAATACGAATTTTGCTCACCTGTTTTGATGAGTTCGTTCTTTCTTTTACTCCATAAACAGTATTCGCTGTGTTTGTTTCTTATGAGCTTGTTATGTAGATACTGTTAATCCCTCAAGAGATATTAAAAAGGTCTCCAAATGCTTTTGATGTTTTAACTCCAGTGGAAGGGAGTATACTGCAAATACAGACAGTAGATGGAGTTGCAGTCCTCCAGTAACATTCAAAGTAGACTTCAGGCTTGATAGTGTGGGGATATAAGCTGCACAGGTACAATTGAAATCGAGGTTTGAAGCCATTAAATTGCTGAATGATTTGAAATGGAAGAAAAAAAAAAAACAACACAGGAAAAGACCATTTAGCCCTCCCCCCAAAAAAACCAAAAGAAAGGAAGAAAAAAAGAGTTTTTAGGCCTGTTGGAGCAGCATGGTTGAGGTTCACCTGTCTCAAAAGCTGCAAACAGAAACAGACCTTAAATCACAGCTGCACTGCAACAGCTTTGGCACATCTAAGGAAGCCAAGGAGGTTAGTGGGTGTTCACAGTAGGATGTTCAAGGACTTGCTGGGCGTAGAGAGAAAACCGGTTTTGATCCCATAATAACACTTATCTAGCCCTGTAGATAGTTAAGAGAGCTGTGCAGAGAAGCAGTTGCTCTGGTGACTTGCAGTAGGATGGAGAGATTCATCTCTTGCTAGGCCCTGAAATACTTGGGTGTGCTAAAACAAAATTCTCTTAGAGGTCCAGTGGTTCAGCATTCATATGTGTTAAATACTGTCCTTCAGTATTGCCACATGTACAGCTGTTTGTTCTCTCTGTTAAGATTCTTGTACATAGATGTGAGGAGACTCCCTGCCCAACAGGGTTGAGGATGAGAAAACCAGCCAGCACCTGGAGTCTTATCAGTGAATGGGGCTGTTGAATTTTGATTTTCAGACCTGAATGCAGATTGTGGTGATAATCCTCACAAAAACAATTTTGAAAAGGAAGGGTAGCTTTCACATTCTTAAGGCAGCATTGACATGTTTTTAAATCAGACAAGACTTAATGTGTCTCTTTCTTTCCTCTGCCAGTTTTCAGCTCTTTATATCCTGTCCTTTGTTATCATCATGGTGGGCTTCACCTTGTATTGCTCCACCCCAACTGGGACGGCAGAACCCAGTGCATTGCCACAGCCCAGCAGCACCGGCTTGGACAACGCTGCACTGAAGCTCGAGGAGAACGACAGTGACACTCCAGCCATAACTGTACAGTTCACAAGAGGAGAAACAGTGATGGTCAGCACTGATTAAAGAGATGGCAGCATTTCAAATAGAGCTTTGTTTTTTTTTGCTGCCAAATTTCTCTCAAATATTAATCTGGAGAATTGTTCTACTGCCAAGGCATGTGTCATGCTGCACTGGTTTTAATGCACTGGACAGACTTCTAAGGCCAGATCCTCATCAGTGAAACTATTGATTGACCCTTGCAGAAAATCTGGCCCTTGAAAGAAGACAGAGTAGTATTTATGTGGAGTCTCTGGGAAGAGAGAGACTGTTATTTTAAAATGCTTAATTAACTTTACAGCAAATGCTCGGGGGAAAAACTAAGCCAAAACATGCTGTCAGGTCACTAAGTGGTGCAAATATGTTTTATACTGCATTAGGGACCCAAATCTGCAGGATGGTGCTTGAGGGCTTCATAGTTCTCACACCTCAGTGCTGGATACCCTCAAATAGCATCTTGCAAAAGCTACTCAGCTTCTCAGGATCTAGTTCTGCAAACTGCATTACATACATACACCTTCCATGTGCTGATGGACCTCATTCCTCTGCTGGAGGATCTGCTTCTTACATTCCACCCAAAGGTTCCTGTCTTCATCTTGCTGCACTCCCTTTTGCAGCTGGGGCTGCTACTGTTTTTTTTATTTTTAATTTTGCTAGTAAGGGAAGTTTGAATATGTGCCTTCATACTCCCTTTTTTTCTCTCTGTGGCCTGTTGTTTGGTGCATTCCCACTAGGTGGAGGAAAGTCAAGCCCTTGCTCTGTTCGGTAAGAACTGAAGAATTTTATTTCTGGATCAGACAGCAAAAGGGGTTAAACTGAAGTTCAATTCTCAGTTAATTTCTCCCTGATAGGGAACACAATTCTGCAGAAAGATCTGAATAGAATAAAATTTGTGTTTCTTAAAGAGAGAAGAAACATTTTACCAATCCTCCCTGCAACAATGACATAATCTCCAAAAGGCTAAGTGCTTTCAGTGCTTTCATTGGGAGTTTTCTTCCCTCTCTTCATATTAAGAGTAAATTATTAAAAAATATGAGGATGCAGTTTCAATGTCAGTAAAACCATACTGTGATTTTATTTGATTTGATTTTTTTGTACAGACCTTCATAGCTCGGGTGTTATGAAGTAACAAAAGAGTAAAGTTTTCAGCAGCTGAAAAGTGGGCTCTTGGTTTGTTCTTTTTTTGTTTTTTAAGCTAGAATGTCTTCATTGCTCAAAATTGTTTTAATTGATTTTAGTGACAAATTACTCTTTTCATGGTTGAGCTTTTCCATAAGAAGAAAAAAAATGGCATTTTCTGAAGGTTCTGGTGATCAGATGACACAGACTGGTTTTGTGTACTTCCAGTGTAGTTTATTAAAGCAAAATAATTCAGGCAATACCTTACCCAGTTTTATTTGGTGATAGAAAAACAAACATTCAGCAGCTATTACAGAAACAAGCACTGCCTTTTCACTGGTTAGTTGGACAGATGGAGAGATGCTGATGTTCTATGAAAAGCAGTTCCAGTTATCTGGGCCCAGTTATCTTTTGCTTTACCACTTGGACTAAGATTCTGGTCACAGACTAAACACCTGAATCGATGCATTTGAAAGATGCTTGGAAGTGGCAGAAGGCCAGAGGCAGGGACCCAAGTCAGTAAGCAACTGAAAGAAACAGCAAAAAAGAGAGACCATCCCATGGCTTCTACCCCTTTTACAGGCAAGGGCTGAGCTATAGGTTGAGGATGTTTTGAGGAGAATCATAAAATAGTTTGGGTTGGAAGGGACTTAAAGATCGTCTAGTTCCAACCCCTCTGCTGTGATCAGGGACACCTTCTACTAGAGCAGGTTGCTCAAAGCCCCATCCAGCCTGGCCTTGAACACTTCCAGAGAGGGAGCCTCCCCAGCTTCTCTGGTTCCAGTGTCATACTACCCTCACAGCGAAGGTTTCCACTGCTGGTGGAAATAGGAAGCTTTGGGGAAATCCTGTTTATTGGTGAAGAAGGCACTAAGTCCTGTTGTAATGTAAAAGAAGGATCCTTTGCTTCCTGCCAGGGTCTCCCCAGCTGCTGTGTTCCCCCAGCAGGTCCCACTGTACAGGCTCCTGCCTGTACCTGCCCTGGACCTGAGCAGCTGCCCTTGGCATCTGGAGCAGTGCCTGTCCCTGCCCTGTGAAGGGAGAGTGCTTGGAGAGGGCTTGCCTAACCCAAGAACATTTTTAGTGAGGTTTCCATGTAGAGGTAGAAATCGCATTTGTTTATTTGGGATGTTTTTGACCAAACTTGCTGGTCTTTTTCTCATTGCTGAGTCGTGGGGTTGCTTCACTCATTTCAAACGGGAGACACATTAAATGATAAAGCACCTATTAGAAAACATCAGGAACAAGCTTCTGTGTGCCAAAAAATAGAAGTGTACCTGCTTCAAATGTTAATCTACAATATTGCTGTGATTAGGTCATAATTTGCTAAACTAGATAACCACTAGCTGTTGTGTGTGTGTTTGGGCAGAAAATGCAATGGCTGTGCAGAGCTGAGGAATGCAGTTATCCCACCTTATCAATCTGAATTAAAGAGTAGGTCTTGATTATGCATTAAGAAAATTGTATATCCTTGACATTATCTTCTGAGAATGTGCAGGTGTATTATTTAGGGGTTATATTTTTAAGGGAAGGTGAAAGAAATGGATTTGCTGTAGGTGATTATTGCATGAACAGTTCACAAATTTCTGTGCTTGAACCCATCAGCATCAACAGCCTGTGTTTGAAGACTATTAATTCTTCATTGCAGCAGATTCAAGGGGTAAACACCTACATGTGATTATTGAAGTCTGGATGCCACTATGTGTAGTGCAACCACAAAAATGTTTTAATTAGATGATTAGTCCATACTGTCACTATGACAGGACAAAGATCATGCTTCTGGCAGTGCAACACATGGTATTTTTAAACACAGTATTATGTCCAGGTTAGTATTAACTTTCATTTTAATTTGGATACTCAGTTCCCTCCCATATACGTTGCTCCTTTTGAAGGGAGATAGTATTTTAATTTCTATAATTAGTGATATAATCAGTGGTAACATAATGTATGTTTTATCTGAAAGTACATGGAAATGTTTTGACTCAGACTTTGGTCTTCGAAACAGGACCATCTTGTGGCACAGTGTGAGTGCACAGGCAGTAACTCATCTTCTCTATATATAGGCCACTGAAATAAAAACTAAAACACGTGTATGCCACCCCTACTTATTGTCCATCATGTGGTTCAGAAAGAAGTAGGTGCAGATTCTTGGATGAAGATGCATCACTTCAGAGCACAAATGACACATATTGCTCCTGGGGAAACAATGTTCCGTTAACGACTCCTCTGGGACCTCTGAGAGAAGGTGCATGGATGAGTCTCTGACATTATGTTTTTAACATTAGAATAAGCTGGAGAAAAAAGTCCAGCTGTCACTTGCATTAAACCTAAGTATCCACGTAAAAATATGCGACATACAGACTCCCTCCAAGCTTTGGTTACAAGACATCAAAAATTATCTGGCATCAGAATGTCACAATGTGTTGGAAAAGGAAAAAATTGGTGTGGCAGTAACTGAGAGGTGACTTTATCTATGGCAGAGGATGAGCTTTTGGACATGGGCTATTTTAAGACTTTTGACCTTTCCTAAGTCACACATACTCAGTTCTATATGATATGATGTCTGAGACAAGCATATCTGTTCTTGTCAGCACCACTCATTCACACTTCATGTATTGTGGGATATTTCATGGAGTTACACATCTGTCTTGTGAATGTTTTGATCAATTCAGGAAGTCTGACAGAGAGAAACTGCACAAGCTACATCATCAATCATAAACAATTTTGAGCAAGCAGACAGAGATTCCTAAAAACACAAAGTGAAGGAGCCTGGGACTTTCTTGGTCTTCCACCAGAATTCCAGTGTTTAGCAGTTTAAGTGTTGGACCTGGTAAGAATCTGATGAACTGTGATGTTACAGTTTTTAACTTGGGGCTACACCTAAACCTACACTTATCAGACAAACAGCATCCAAGGTATTGGAGCTGTATCCTCCGAGCTCTTCCTTTGCAGTCCTTGGATGGAGCAATTCAGCTCTCTCTTGGAGATGCCAACATTTATTGGCATTTCTTGACTTGAGTGCCTAATTTTAGGTGGAGCCAAGCCAAGTCTAGAGACCCCAACCAAGCACAATGCCACATTCTTATGGGTGTTGGAGTCCATAGTAAGCTGGAAATTTATGTGAGAGATGAAAAAACAGGGAGAGATTTTATTTGCTCAGCAGCTATGGGAAGCCCATGCCTGGTTCAACAAGAGTTATGTGCAGAGGTATCCAAAGTGTGGATCCTTCATTCCTCTCCAGATAAAATTTATTTTTCCTCTTGTATAAGAACATTCAGGACTTAAAGCTATAGATTTTACAGAAAAGAGCCAGAAGGAAAAATCAGATTTCTTTTGCAACATAGGCCAACACATTGCATCTGATTGCTCATAATCAAAACGTGTAAGTTTTAGTTAAGTTGCAGCATCTCTTAAAATCTTGGTATTAAACTCCTAAAGCAATATGGAATTAATCTCTTCTGGAAGTAGGAGAATTTAATTTTTTTCATGAGCTGGCTCTTGGACATATAAAGAGTGAAGGGAGAAGGCCACAGTTCTCAGAGCTCTCTGAGAGTATGCAGCCTCCAAGAGCAGGTTCCCATGCCCTTCAAGACTGATATATTTTTATTAAGCTACCAGTTGGGAACAGTTGTGATATTTTCATCTTAAATTTATGGCCTGGGGTCAGAATCACCAGCCTTAAGCCCATGACATCACCCTGTTCAAAATAAACTTCATTTCACCCATTAATCTCCAGCTGGTCTCCCTAGCAATCAATACTGTGAGCAGAGATTGTGTAGGAAGGCAGAAAAGATCACTGGGACCACAGGTGAAATGGTGTGTTTTGTTCTCATAAATCAGTATCAGTGTCCAGAGTACTCTAAAATGACAATGTATACTGAAACTACGGATCACTTCCAAAGAAGGCATTGAAGAAGATGGCTTAAAATATTATAGAGACATATTATTATTGTACAAAATTAAGTTTTCATGTTTATTTAAGAATGTTAAGATGTTTTCATAGAAA